TCAGGCCGTAGGTGGGTGTAAGGTGCATGGAAGGTAGTGTTTGGTGATGTGTATATGTCTGAGACCTGGACCAGCTGAGGTGACCTGCAGCGGCCGATTTCCAGGATGCCCCACAATGCTGCATCACTCCAGTAGGCTGCCCCGCTGGATCATTTCTTTCTTCATGGCACTATTTCAGTCTATTAACTTCATTGTACATTTAGCTAACTTAAACTCGCCTAATTCCACATTCATCGTAGAATCGAACCCGTGACACTCGACACAGTAACGGACAGTAATTCAAAGTTCAACATTCAATGTCCCGGATTCATTTATCACCAAATGACGAATAGTGAACTAACGCGATCTCTTGGTAAGTCACACGGTTCAGCGTTACAAACACAACTAAATTATTTAGTTAGATATCAATACTACGCCGCGATAAGAATTCAAAATACGCCTAGTTGACACGTAAAACTAACAAAACAGTCAACACACAAAAAAGGGCACTTAACGCAACGGCACAATTACTTTCAAAGAAGTTACTTTAATCAGTTAAACACAATACAAGCCTCTTGTTAAAGTTATTATGTATTGTGATGACATAGGCAAAAATTTGGGCATGATGTTAAATAACTGTTTAAAAGGACATATGATCACTAATTATTGCATGCCAGGAGCAACCCTTAGTCATATAATGAATAAAGTTTTAGCTAGTAAATTTTGCCCTAATAGCACATTAATAATTCTTGTTGGGAGAAGAGGCAATGTAAACAAAAATCAATTATTAAAATATATTGATAATCTAAATACTTTAAATGTACATAAAATTATCTTGTTTACATTGCCTTACATAGAGGGTTGGCCGCAGGAAAATAAAATAAGATATGATTTAAATTTATTAATGAATAACTTTTCATGTAATAATAATTTAAACTTGACATTTAATTGTTATAATTATAATAATAAATTTAATTTAATAGACATAAATAATTTAATTAAGAAATTTTTTACTAGAGATAGGTATTACCTATCTAAATATATTTTAAGACAGATAGCAAATGTGCTATCTTATTGTTTATATATTAACTCAGCCAAGGACTTGGTTACACAGACATCTGCTCCTTTTGAGCAGTATAATGACTTAATATGTAATTTGGAATCAGTTCCAAGTAATTTAAATTAGAAAATGAGACAATAGAGGTAATCTCTAGCAGTTGTAATAATTTAAATAATTTAGAATGTAGCTTACTAATCTTTAATTGTATGACTCCACAAAGTAATAATGAAAATTGTTTACATCTGGTGCATCAAAATATACAAGGCATGATAGGCAAAGAGCTAGAAATTGAGTTGTTCTTAAATAGCAACAATATTCATATTTTATGTATTACTGAACATTGGTTAAAAGCTTATAACTTAATGTTTAACTTCAGTAATCACCAGGTGGTCAGTTCTTTCAATAGAGAAACGGTTTTAAGAGGTGGCTCCTTAATATTAGCTAATAAATTATTGTCATGTAAAGAACGTAAAGATATTGTGAGCCTCTCTGTTGAGCGAACTGTAGAAATGGCATGTGTTGAGTTTGAGCACCTCATTGTTGTGAGCGTCTACAGACCACCATGTTCTATATACGATACTTTTGAAAAAATTATGGAGGAAGTTTTTGCTAAGCTTAATAAACAGAATAAATCTGTTGTAATATGTGGAGACTTTAATATCAATCTCCTAGAAGCTTCCTCAATCAACATTAAATTTAGATCATTGTTTAAATCATATGGTCTTTTTAATTTATTTTTAGAGCCAACGCGTATTGCTCAATCTAGTGCAACATGTATAGATAACATTTTTACAAATGTGAAGCCGTTGCATAAATTTATAATTCAAAAATTAAGTTTTGATCACTGTGGACAGGTAGTTTCGTTACCTTATGTTCACAAAAAGCAAGTAGATGAGAAAGTTGTGTTTGTTCCAGTAAATGCACGTCGCTTGGGGAAATTTAGAAGTAACATAGTGAAAAAACTTCCATCACTTTCATACCAAAATGATCCAAATTTTTTGTATGGAACATTACTTAAGCTTATTTGCAATGAATTTAATAATACTTTTACTTCTAAAACATTCTCCTTGAACAGTCGAAAGTCATTTAATGAATGGGCGACAGTAGGAGTTCATAAGAGCAGACATAGGTTATATGATCTTTACCATGAAAGGTCATATAATCATAGCGTCGAATTTAGGGAATATGTAAAAAAATATTCAAAAATATTTAAAAGAGTGTGCTCCACAGCCAAGTCTTTGCATTTGAGCAACAAAATTAAGACGGCTTCTAATAAAATTAAAATGACATGGAGTATAATTAATAGCGAAACTGGTAAGATCAACTCTCACAATTCAAACTACCAGTTAAGTGTTAGTAACAAATTAACCGAATCAGATCAAGACGTTGCAATGGTTTTTGAGAAATATTTTACTGATATTCCGATATTAACCACTAAGTCACTGAATTCTTCTTCTGCGGTCGCCGAATCATTACTTAAACAAAATGTAAATGCGTGTACAAAGAATTTTGCATTTCATAAAGTATCATCAAAAGATATTGTAAAATATTTTAAAACTATTGATGTTAAGAAAACTGCGGATCTGTGGGGGATTTCCGTTAAAGTTATTGCGTCTATAATAGATACAATCGCGCCTCATTTAGCTATTATTTTTAATACTAGTATCGAATCTGGTGTGTTTCCTGATTTAATGAAGCATAGTAAAGTAATACCTTTATTTAAATCTGGTAGTACATTAGACCCCGCCAATTTTATACCTATTTCTGTACTACCAACACTTAGTAAGATTTTTGAAAAAATTATTCTTGATCAAATGTTAAATTTCTTTAATATAAATAATTTACTTCATAAAAATCAATTTGGTTTCACAAGGGGTCGCTCGACAACTGATGCCGGTGTTGAACTGAGTAAATATATATTTAATGCATGGGAGAATTCACAGGATGCTTTGGGTATATTTTGTGACCTATCCAAAGCCTTCGATTGTGTTCACCATGAAACATTAATCAGGAAACTTCAACACTACGGTGTAAGAAGTGATGCTCTTAAATTAATTATTTCATATTTAAGTAAGAGAACGCAATAAGTTGTCATTAACGGTATGAGTTCTTCCGGGTCGATGGTACTAATGGGCGTGCCTCAAGGCTCAATTCTCGGCCCCTTTCTGTTTCTTGTATACATTAATGACTTACCTTACATAGTAGGAGATAACCATGATATAGTATTATTTGCAGATGACACTTCTTTAATTTTCAAATTAAGTCGACAATTGCTAAAATATGACGAAGTAAATAATGCTATATCTAAATTAGTAAATTGGTTCAATGTTTATAATTTGCATTTAAATGGCACTAAAACGAAATTTATGAAATTTATGACTCCAAATGTCAAACAATTAAATGCTAATGTAATTTTAAGTGGGGAGAATCTGAGTCTTGTAGATACCACCATTTTTCTTGGAATCACACTAGACGCGAAGCTTCAATGGAGCCCCCATATATCAAAACTAGCAAGCAGACTTAGTTCTGCAGCATATGCCGTAAAAAAGATTAGAAGTCTAACTAGTGTTGAAACAGCTAGACTAGTTTACTTTAGCTATTTCCATAGCATAATGTCGTATGGTATTTTGCTATGGGGACACGCAGCTGACACTGAAATTATATTTGTTTTACAGAAGAGGGCCATAAGAGCAATTTATGATTTAAAGCCTAAAGAGTCGCTGCGACAAAAATTTAAGGAAATTAATATATTAACTTTGACCTCTCAATACATTTATGAAAATGTAATGTACGTACACAAAAATAAAAGTAGCTTCACAAAAATAAGTGATATCCATTCTGTAAATACTAGGAACAGACACAAGCTAGTAGTACCAGTTACTCGACTCCATCGAGTCAGTAATTTATTCTTGGGGCGATGTATACGCTTTTACAACAAAATTCCAGAAAATATACAAAATTTGACCTGTACAAAGTTCATAAACTTCATTAAACTAAGTTTGTATAAAAAGGGTTATTATAATATTAAGGAATTTATGGATGATAATAACCCCTGGAAATGAGGTGATCGCTACCAAGCTATTTCTAATTTATTGTGTTGTTAATTTGTGTAACATACATGATTGTAAGCTGTTATTTAAAAAAAAAAGTCCCGCTGGGTTTCTTGCTGGTTCTTCCCAGGACAGAGGTTTTTTTTTCGAACCAGTGGTAATCATACAAAAGAGTGACTTTCAATAAGTATTATTTATAATCTTCTTCTATATTGAATAAAAAAGTTTCTGTTTCTGTTTCTTGTCAAGAACTTAAACCCTAGACAACCTAAAACGAGGCGGTTTTCACGAAACACAATTACGTAGCGAAGTCACGTGCTCAATTTCCAAAATTCTAGACCTTAAACCAAAAAAAGCAGGTCTCGCGAAACCTCAGCGGCGGGCATCGAAAGACACCAATTAACTGCCCAGCCGCCATCGAGCTACTGTTTGCTACTGTCTCGCCCGACAGCGCCAAAACGCTGGGAAGCTGCCTTCCGCCGCCCCCTCCCCGCGACACGCGTGACACCCGGCACCATCGGCCGACTCTCCAAGTCGAACGTGATTGGGTGCCGTCCCAAAATTACCATTTTTGGGCATAAACACTAAGTAAAATTAATAAAGGAGGTTAATGTAAAAACGAGGAAACATAATTACTGGCAGAGAAGTTTATCATAGTCCAGGAGCAACACCAACTTCTAGCATTATTGGTTTAAAGTAAATTCAGATATAATATGTGGGTAATGGGAGTCACTTACGACTAGGTGGATTGTCAAATCGTTTGTCACTCTTATAAAAAAAGTTGATAAAAGTGCATTGCGACCTCTCTTTTGGCTCTAATATCATACCTACTTCTTCATTACTTTCTTGTTACTTGTTAACAGTAGTACCATTGATTTGTCTATCTATTTCTATAAATAAAATACACGCAGGTACCACGGTGCTGGAGGAGATAATGTCGGAGAAGAAGCGAGAGACGGGCAACGCGGACGTTCTGCCTGCGAAGGTAGCCGTAATGCGCCCCATACTGCGCTTCCTGCAGCTGCTCTGCGAGAACCACAACCCGGAACTGCAGGTTATAGTTTCTTCTATTATTTTCGCAGACCAAGAAAGAAATAAAGATGGAACATTCCGCTTTTAGAAGTGAGGCACGCAATATGAAGACGATTCGCCAATACTATTTCATAAATTTCAGAACCTACTTCGCAACCAAAACAACAAATCTAACTACAACCTGGTGTCGGAGACCCTAATGTTCTTGGACTGCATCTGTGGGTCGACGACGGGTGGGCTGGGGCTGCTCGGGCTGTACATCAACGAGGGCAACGTGGCGCTCATCAACCAGACGCTTGAAACCCTCACCGAGTATTGCCAAGGTAATCACCGCACTACGTACTTATTTTAAAGCATATAATGGTTTGCCATGTAGTGGTGGCGAAGTAAGGGAGAAAAACGAGAGACGGGCAGCAGCATTTTGTACGTGGTAGAGCCATGCTGCAACTATATTAGTAGTATACTTGTAGCACGAATGGATCGGTTTGACCGGGGAATGACCACGCTCTCACAGAATACCAGCGTAAAATAGCATGTGTTTCATATGGCGTGTGATATGTGTAGAGATCCGGAGACCCATTTTACTGGAAAAGAGGCATTCCATCTTAGTCCTCACGGGTGACGACGCATCTGCATTTTGATTCTTTATTGAGGATAGATGTAGATTGTTTATGGGTCACAGCAACCACTTACCATCCGGTGTGCACTATGTGCTCGTTTGTCACCCTGCAATTAATGAATAAAATTTAATTGTTTGATGCAGGCCCATGCCACGAGAACCAAAACTGCATAGCTACACACGAAAGCAACGGCCTTGACATAATAACGGCGCTGATTTTGAACGATATCAACCCTCTTGGCAAGACACGCATGGACCTGGTGCTCGAGCTAAAGAACAACGCCTCCAAGCTCCTGCTTGCCATCATGGAATCACGCAACGACTCTGAGAACAACGCCGAACGAATATTGTACAATATGAACCCTGAGCAGCTGGTAAGTACATCAGATTTTATTGTCAGCTGTCCTATCTGGGCTACCAGTCATAAAATTCTGAGTATGAAAAAATTTGGCTTCAGGGTTATAATAAAATGTTTAAACATTTAACGTTTTCACGAAAATTTCTAAAATTTAAGTTGCCTAATTTGTCAGCTTATGATTCTAGCGTGTAAAAAAATAGTCCGATGTTTGTTCCTTTGCCCTACACTTGATATTAATGTGAATCACATTTACAAAACCAACTTGGGTCGCTTTGCTGTGAAAAATCTCCCACAACTGCACGACCACGACGTCATGGGCGGCGGTAGTCACTTACCATCAGATGAGCCGCATGCTCGTTTGCCCCCTCTCCTATAAAAAAAAAACTGCGTACAATTTTTACGTTTTATATCGCAACTTTATCGCGCTTTTTTGGTTTTAATACAGCATAATTTCAATAAAAGAATTACATCAAAATAAATTTTGTTATTTGAAGAATATAATTCTAGTTTTATTGAAAGTTCCTACATTTAATTAGACATAACATCGTTATTGAAATTACTCTAAAAAAACAGACAATAAATTACGATGCACAATCGAGCACTGAGCACTGACCACGACCACCCGATCAGTACGGCGCGAACGCCCGTAGAGGAAGGAACTATGTCATTTTTTCCAAGTCCCAAATTTCGAGCGCTCATACAGACTATTCCAGAAATCGACGTCAAACCGGTAACGGGTGATAGGCCAAGTCATGATAGTTATTAGAAAAAAAAATAAGTTATGTATTTCTAAAAATAATGGGCATTTTATAATAATCGAGAAAATCTACAGCCTGTGGTAGTCTTTTAATCCCTCGTTACTACAAATCTTTATTTTTTATTTTATTTATTTTTTATTATGTCATCCTGAATAATGCTTCTGTCAGTTGTTGCTTAAAACTTAAAGCCAACTGCTCCAGCTTGGAAGATGATGTCACTTTTAGCGCAACTAAGTATACTTCGACCAATTTAACTGTCTGTACTGAAAAAAAAATGTACTACGCTAGTTTGGCAGGTTACTCTATCGTCACGAACGAATAGACAAAAAAGATGTATTGTGCGTGCGTTAGTGAAGATGGACAACAGCGACTATTGTCGCACTAGTCGAATAGTGTATCTATATAAAAGCCTTTTGTAGACGGGGAAATAATAAAGGAAGCCTTCTTAACAGCTGCTGATTCTGTCTTTCAGAATTTTTAAAAACAAAACTGAAATTATTGCGGCTATTGAAGTGTAGAGAAGAAACAAAGTTATCGCTACTGATATGAAATCGAAGTTGGAGTGATATAAGTTAGCTGCTATAGTTACTGATGGTGCACCTGCAATGATAGGCAATAAAAACGGCTTCGTTGCGCTGTGTATGGCAAATGACGATGTGTCCTTAATTCGCTCATTACTACTGCATCATCCACCAAGAGGCGTTGTGTGCCAAAATTCTTCTTTTTGAACATATCATGAAGATTTTCGTACAGTTAGTTAACTATATTAGGGCTGCGGCAATGCAACTACATTTGTTTCGTCAGCTTTTGCAAGATGAAGATGCTGAGTACGCGGACTTGATATTGCATACAGAAGTTCGATGGCTGAGTAGAGGCAAAGTGCTTGTACGCTTTCTCAGCTTAATAAATGAAATCAAACAGTTCATGGCAACGAGAAAGGAAGATTATCCATAGTTGACCCTTCCCTCACGACTTGCAGATTTGGGGTTTCTCACTGATATAACAATAAAACTGAATTAACTGAACCTGGAAATGCAAGAAAAAAACAGCCAAACTGAATCCACGGAAGTCCCATTTACTGGGAAATTCTACTTCACACTTCGAAATTAGAGAAAATATTCGAGCACATGAATGTATGTGTAAAAGATATTGATACCATTTCGTTTGCTCCGCCATTAGATACACTTGGACGAATTTAATTCTCGTTTCCAACAATTTAAGTATCTTGAGCCTTTCTTGGAGTTCATAATGAATCCATTCGCAGAAAGTGATGTTTCGGAAAAGATCAAAAACTATTTTGGCATAGAAAATTACAATGAATTAGAGCTGGAAATAATAACCATGAAGAACGACTCTGAAATCAAAAATCATGTATGTGGGACGAAAACCTTGGAATATTGTTGATAAAAATAAATATTCTAATTCAAGGGAATTATCTCTTAAAATACACGCGCATAGTGCATCAACGTACGCATACGAAATCATATTTTCAAAAATGAATATAGAAACAGAATGACAAATGTAAATTTGAAGCACCAGTCCTCATACAATGGTTGGACCATTGTATGAGGACTGGTGCTTCAAATTATTAGCCAGATTTCATTAAGTTGTCGGAAGAAGTGCAATGTTAGATCACACTAATAATTAGTGACTAATTGTTGTAATAACTAGTGACTTATGTAGTTGGCTGTATGTAGAGTGGTAGAGCCATGCTGCAGCTATATTATGGTTGTAGCACGAATGGGTCGGCTCGAACGGGGAAGGACCACGCTCTCACAGAAAACTAGCGTAAAATAGCAGCTTAACGCTGCTGTGTTTCGTATGGTGAGTGTAGAGAACCGGAGACCCTTTTTACTGGCAAAGAGGCATTCCATCTTAGTCCTCACGGGTGACAACGCAAATGCATCTTGAGTCTTTATTGAGGATAGATGTAGATGTCTATGGGTCACAGTAACCACTTACCATCAAGTGGACTGTGTGCTCGTTTGTCACCCGATCCTATAAAAAAAAAATGTATGCCTCATGAAATAAACATCTTGTTTTGACTTTGTGTAATATTTTATTTGCGTTAATCCATTCTATGCCTTTGGTTTCTATGGGCGGCCTGACAATATTTATTCATTAGGACGCCCATCGGCGTCTCACTTTCAAAGCTAGTTTTCTCGGTCAAATTACAATAAAAAGACCTAATTATTTTTTAATGCTACATTTTACAATAATCTAGCTATGGTCAAAATGGCCTGTAATAATAATCTGCGGTTTAAAAAAAAATGCTGATTCTAAGATTACATGCCGAAGCCGCCCGTCGGCGCCTTTAATAAATAATCGGAGTTTGTCAACCTTTTCATGTTATGTGGATGAAAATTACTATTTGTCTGCTAACGACTTAGAAAAATATAAATAGGCGTTTTTTATACAGGCTGGAACTGAAATTGAAGTATTTTGTAGCATATATGTTGAAATTTGTTATTTGGTTAGTAAAAATGATGTTGAGACTGCGTATTCTTTGACGTAGTGACAGAATCGCACACTCTGACAGATCAAAGAATATGTACCGCTTCGAGGTGGACTACTGCGCAAATGCATGGGCCATAAAAACAAATTTTAAACAATAGAGTGAATAAAGTAAGTGAATTCTCACTCATTGTTTTAGTCACTTCACGTTTGTATTTTGATGTTTTTTTTATTAATAAGAGTATAATGAAAAAAAAACGGCCGGCGTTCTTTCATGAGAACAATGTACCTTTTAAAACTTAACTATGGATTACTATTTGTGATTTTCGAAAATTGTAAATTTAGTATCACTCGAAACTTCACATTTGAAAATGAAAAGTAAGTAACCTTTGTAAGTTAAAAAAAAGGATGATATTTTCTGACATGTTAAAAAAGCCCTAATAGTATTTGTTTTCTGGTATATTTCATAGCATTTGACTTTGAAAATAATTTAAATATATTTAATACATATATTTACACAATAATATTCTATAATAAATGAATAAGTAGCTTCTAAGTAGCTCTCCTTGACATTGTATTATTATTTCGGTCGTAAATTCAAATGATATTTTTTTTAATAACTTGCGTAGAACACTGCACCCACTCAGTTAACATTAGCTTCTGCTTAAAAAAAACTAATAAAAATCATAGTTTACGGCGTTGGGCCGCCGCCTTCAAATGTATGACGGCATGGGGTAATGTGTTTCTATTCAAAGGAGGCAATGAATGGGTTTAACCATTCATGCGCCCTTCAGTAGTAAATTATTTTAGAAATTTAGAATGAGCCCTTAGACTGGATAAGGTTGCCGACCCCTGATCTAGTATATTTTTAACCGAATTAACGCGAGTGATTTGTTATAATTTTACGTGTTGTTTTACCATGTGCTCTGTAGTAAAGGAAAACATCGTGAGGAAACCTGCATATCCCAGAAATAAAATATTTCGAAGACATGTGAAGTCTGTCAACTCGCACTTGAGCAGCGTGGCGGACTACTCGTTCCATAACCCTCTCAGAGATGAGAGGAGATCTGTGCCCAAGCTGTAAGCGTATATTGACTGTATCTTTATATTATTATTATTTTAATTATCGTCTTCGCCGGCAGGTTGATGTTGCGTGCTCAGCCTTCAATCAGGAACATGCGATGGACACGGAATCTGATTCGGAAGATGAAACTCCCGTACAGGGCGTGTCTCCGAAAGAAGTAAGTATTTTCTTAGACATATCATTCTCTAAACCATTTCCCATTATCTGGGGTCGGCGCAGTAAATCTTTTTGTTCCATTCCTCTCTATCAGCCGTCATTTCCATACTTACTCCTTTCATTCTCATATCACTCTTCACACAATCGATCCATCTTTTATTCGGCCTTCCTCTGCCCGTGTGTCCCTCCACATTCATATTCAACACTCGTTTTGTGACATGACTTTCATTCCTCCGCATCACATGCCCAAACCATGCCAATCTGCTTCCTCTCACCTTTTCTACCACTGGCGCTACTTTCAGGCTTCCTCTTATATACTCATTCCTTATCTTATCCATCCTTGTCACACCACACATCCATCGTAACATTCTCATTTCATTCGCATGCAGTCTATTTTCATCCTTCTTCTTGACGGCCCAGCATTCACTTCCATACATGACGACAGGTCGGATGATCGATTTGTAAATTTTCCCCTTCAGCCTTATTGGCATTCGGGGATCGCACGTTGTGGCTGTGACCTGTCGCCAGTATTTTCTTAGATATGATTGGTATATAGGGCTGTGCAACGTATAGTGTGGGAGGCTCGCTTTGGTTTTGTCTAATGAGTAATGACTTACTTTTCAAGCCGGCATCATTGAAATTTTTAAATGCAATATACTTATTTACATGAACCCAATAAAGAGCATTATTGGATACGCAAAGCAAGCCTTCGACAGCTAATGCAGTGGTGAGCAAGGTTCTAATTTTATAAAAACCTAATCAGTTTTTCATTACGCCATTAAATTAATCGGTAATTGATATCTTCATTCGTTCGCAAGATACGCAAGACCAAAAAAGTTTACGAACGTATTTACACATGCATATATAAACATACACGCACATTCATACGCATATATACATGCACGTGCACTTACGCAACCAAAAATAGGAAGAGGCATCTCTTTAAAAATTGGGTTTGTTGTCTGGAGGTGATAAAAGGAGATATGTGAATATTTTTAATTTGAAGAATGCAGTCGTTGTAACAAGTTGGAGATGGCAAGTGAACAGGGAGAGTGTGTTGTCGCAGGTGGGCCACAACATCTACATCCTGTGCCACCAGCTGGCCGGGCACAACAAGGAGCTGGCGGCGCTGGTGCGCGCGTCGCCCGCCGCGCCCGCCGCGGCCGCCGGCACCAACGCGCCCGCGCTGCGCTACTACCGCACGCACACCGCGCAGATCGAGGCAAGCACACGCCTCACCCTACAATACTCATTCTTCTTCTTCTACCTCTTCTACTCCTACTCCTTATTCTCCTTCTTCTACTCTTCGCTCTTATCCTTCTCAATATTCTTCTGTTTTCTTCTTCCTCTTCTCCTTCTCCATCTTATTCTTTTTCTTCCTTTTCCTCTTCTTCTTCTTTATAAATTTGTTGAACTGCTGGACATTTTACCTAATCGTCACGTGTTGGGATTTGCATCTAACACATAAAGTGATGAATTATTGTGTTATATATAAATAATAGATTGACTGCAAATTAAGTTAAAGTTAAACATTATTAGAGAATCTGAAGTGATAATTGTTGACTCTATATTGTCTCTAAATAATAGGATGAAAATTGTGTGGTAAAAGAAAGATGTGGTTTGCAAGATGATGTTGTAACCTGGATTAAGAAAGGAATGCTTCGGTGATTTCGTCGTCTAGAAATAATGAGGATAAAGTAACAAAGCAAAATTAATGTTGCAAAATTGAGTAGCAGAGTTGACAAGGGCGTCTCTTAGTTCTGGATAAAAATGTATCGACCAAATAGGAAATATATTGAAGATGAGCCAAATTAAATATACCCATATTATATGAATGTGAAGAAGGCGACAGAGGTGTAGGAGGATTGCATCAAATTGTAGTGCGTAGTTTCTGCCTATCCCATTGGGTAACGGACGTAAGTGTATGTGTTATAATATTGATATTATGATATGATAATAGTACGTGTTGCTTGGCAATATGATGCGATATTTACTAAAAAGTACTAACCAGTAACGTATCGAATAAAAAGAACCGAGTACAAAAGTATCGGTATCGGAAGGAAAAGTACTCGATACCTAAAAGTATCACTACTTTTGTCGTATCTCCACAGCCACGAAACGAAATGAGTTGATGGATTATTTACTCTGTCTACCTACTTCTTACGAGCCAAGCATCACGATTCCCGACAAACGACCTCGCAAGTTGCATGCGTTGGGCATCATAGAACTGACATAGTGGCGGAAATATGTTCGATCATAGTCAGAATAAGTACTTTACCTAAGTAACTTACCATTTGCCAATGTATTTTTTACTCTTTATTAACAGCCTTTAGTAACCACGGAAAGTCCGTTGGGACGTGGGAAAAAGAAAAGATGCAAAGTAATACGGACACTCGCGCGCAGCGATAAAGTTTTATTTAGCTTGCGTGCGCGATTTATCTGATTAATAATAATTAAGCAGGCTATTAAAACGTTGGCAAGGAGTCAACATCAAAGGAGTGCAATTTCTGTACGTAGTACTATTATTTATTCTGTGACAGTACTACTGCATAGTAAGCAATATTATCTCCAGAGCTGGCGGATAATATATTTGAGGTTAAAACAATACTAGTAACATTGCTATATTAATAATGCTCTCAATAACCACTGAAAGTAAGTTCAAAAGGCTTGTGCCAGGAGTGGTTCACAACTTTGGCGAATAGTGGATCCGAACATATGACTTTTTTATAGGATAAGCATGACAAACGAGCACACAGTTCACCTCTGATGGTAATTAGATTCTGTAGTCCATGGACATCTATATCTGTCCTCGATTAAGCATCTTTATTTTTCTAATTTTAAGACTTTCCGACTTTGCAGTCCGGACTCTTAACCATTAGCTAGTGTCGCTTGTAGATAGTGCGCACGGACCGCAGCATGGAGCAGATCGTGTTCCCGATCCCGGAGATCTGCGAGTACCTGCCGGCGGACAGCAAGCACCGCGTGCTGCAAAGCGCCGAGCGGGATGACCAGGGCAGCAAGGTTGCCGATTTCTTCTCCCGCCTCGACAACCTCTTCCACGAAATGAAGTGGCAGAAAAAGCTACGTGGTTAGTTTTTTTTTTATTTATCCACCATTATTATTACAGCCTATAAAAGTCCAATGCTGAACATAGGGTTCTCCCATAGATTACTTCATAGGGGGGAGTGATTTTGCCATAGTTGCCACGCTTGGCAGTTGGGTTGGCAATCGCAGTGTTTTATAACTTTGAGTTGTTATCAGGAAGATACTATTACCCATCTCCTATTATAGCTCCCTCTTCTCTTACGACAGCCACGGGACGATATGGGGAACTACGTGATTAATATTAATTTATCCACAATATCATCAAAAATTATACAAAATCTAACAGCTTGCAGCCAATCAACGTGTTAAACTAGAATTATATACTTCAAATAACAAAAGGTATTTTGATTTAATTCTTTTATTGAAATTACGTTGTATTAAAACCAAAAAAGCGCGATAAAATTGCGATATAAAACGTAAAAATTGTACGCAGTTGTGGGAGATTTTTCACTGCAAAATTTTTTTAGTACATTAATAAAACAAAAACTATTTAATAAAGAGCACGGTCCTGAGCCATAGACTTCCTTAAAATGTGCACTCTTTACACTGTCATCCTTTACAATAGTAGATAATATAAATTGATCACTAACAAAATTACAGTGAGTGCGTTGCCGGCATTTTAGAAAGATGTACGCTCTTTTCTTGAAGGTACCTAAGTCGTATCGGTCCGGAAAAATCGCCGGTGGTAAACAATTCACAGAGAAGTTGTACGAGTAAGAAAACTCCTAGTAAAACGCACAGTCGTGGACCGCCAAGCATCCAGATGGTGAGGATGGTATCGTGAATTTTGACGCGATGTGCGTTCGTGAAATTTGGCGTCTGGAATTAATCCGAACAATTCTTCAGAGCACTCCCCGTGGTAAATTCGATAGAAAATGCAAAGGAATGCAACATCTCTACGCAGTGCCAGGGGTGCCCCGGCCCAGAGATGAGAACAGTATTTCATGTTAGGCCGAACTTGCGCTTTGTAAAGTTGCAAACGATGTGCCGGCATGAAATACTGTCTCGCCTTGCTGAGGACGCTAAGCTTTTTAGAGGACAATTTGGCCTTCCCTTCCAAATGACCACGAAACTGCACACTATTCGATATGTTGACGCCAAGGATTCCGATGCTAGCTGAGGCAGCAAGAGGAGTGCCTTGAAACTGAGGAGATACGACAAAGGGTTTCTTTTTAGCGGTAAACGCGCAAACAAGTGTCTTCTGAGGATTAAACTAGACTAGATTTAGTCGCCCCCAATCCGAGACTTTGTTCAGCAAAGACTCGACTTCAGACACAAGTTTGTTCCGGTACTCGGCGACGTTTTCCCGAGAAATATTGGCACGGCCGGTGTATAGAGCATCACCAGTGCTGTCATCCGCATAGCAATGAATGCTACCAGTTTGCAACATATCATTAATATGCAGGAGAAACAACGTTGGTGATAGCACTCAGCCTTGTGGAACACCAGCGTTGATAGGCCTGAAATCAGAGCATGCACCGTCTACTACGACCTTGATGCTCCGATCAGCAAGGAAACTGGTGATCCCTTTGCACAATTTCTCGAGAAGCCCATAGGAAGGAAGCTTCGAAAGAAGCACTTTGTGCCAGACCCGATCGAAGGCCTTCGCTATGTCCAAACTAACGGTCAGTGCCTCCTCCTTGGACTCTACTGCCTACGTCCATCTATGAGCCAGGTAGACCAGCTGATTGATCCCGACGAAAACCGTACTAGCGGTCACTAATCAGCTGGTGATCCTCAAGGTACCTCATGAGCTGGCACACCGTGGGATGGTCGGCGGTTCCCCCCGTCATCTAGAGTCGAGTTGGACGCAAAGAGAGAGCTTAACAGATCGGCTTTCTCCTTTGCGGCATGGGCCAGTGAGTCGTCCTCTCTGTGCAGAGATGGAAGAGATGGCTGGCAGAAGTTCCCTTGTACTGCCTTGGCGAGAGACCAGAATGCACGGGTTCCCGAAGGAAGGCGAACTAGCTTCTCGCCAATTCTGCCGATGTGCTCAGACCTTGCCTTGGCAATAATGCTTTTGAAGGACCTGGAGGCGTAATTATACTTCTTTGAGAAGCGCTGGTATTTACATCTTGAGATGTTGATGTGTAGTGGGTGGAAGGAAAAGGGGAGATCTTCCGCCGGGCAAGGTGTTCTGCCCGGGGAGCGGCCAACGCTCCGATTGGTAGTTCGGAGCTATTCTATATATGCTGCTTTAATTTCGGAACTTTGATAGCGCTATTTAGGCTTCGATGTGTTTCGCTTGTGGCGCGACGACAGCGCCGCCACATCACCCCCCTGCTCAGACCGGAGGTCGATAGTGCAGTCCGATTGCCGGTGCGTCCTTAATGCCGGTGGGGAATGCATGCTGTGTGCGTAAGGGCAAGTGACGCCGGTGCGAATGATATGCCGGTGTGTAATGCATGCCGTACTACGCACTTGCAAGTGATGCCGGTGAGAACGATGAGCCGGAGCAAGTGCCAGGGATTGCCTTGTAGTCTGCGGTGAGTCGAGAAGAAGGCAAGTAATCTGCGAGAGTGCCGTGAAGCAGAGGCGAGCAGTAAGGCTCAGAGCCGTGCCGAACACTGTAGCGCAGAGAGTAGCTTGAAAGAACAGGAAGCATTATTATTCCAGTGCTGCGATGAACATTTTGTAAAGCTAGACGGCTTGCAGAATGTGAAGACTGCAGACAATGTCTGCTCGGGAGCGAATGAATGGGGTACTTGAGTAAGATGACGAAGTTTTTGAAATTGTAGTTTCCGAAGATTGTTAGTTGCGTGTTCATATCACGTCGGGGTCACCACTGTAGTGGGTGGAAGGAAAAGGGGAGATCTCCCGCCGGGCAAGGTGTTCTGCCCGGGGAGCGGCCAACGCTCCGATTGGTAGTTCGGAGCTATTCTATATATGCTGCTTTAAGTTCGGAACTTTGATAGCGCGATTTAGGCTTCGATGTGTTTCGCTTGTGGCGCGACGACAGCGCCGCCACAAATGCGTCACCCCAGGCCCGGTAGCAATCCTGCTTATAGCGTGATGCTATTTACCAGGAATGGCCAAACCATGGCTGGGATTTGCCTCCGATGGGCACCACATAGGATGGAATAAAAAGTTCCATACCCTAAAGTACCACATCAGCAACAGAATCGGCAACAACGCTGGGATCTTCCGACGAGAAGCAAACCCGCCCCCAAGGGTAGGATGCAAAAAAAGACCGCATCCCGTCGCAATCGGCCGACCTATAGTGCCAAACACGGCGGCAAGCTGCAGATCGCAATTACGATGGGAGCGTGAGTGGCACCGTACTCCGTATCAGACAATGGTCCGATGAGCCCAGAGGGGCATTGACGGAGACCTGATATCTGTCCGGATGAGAGGTCAGCAGAAGGTCCAACAGGGAAGGTACATCATCCTCCACATTTGGCATCCGCGTAGACGAAGTAACCAGTTGTGTTAGACTATATGCCAAGGCAAAGTTCAAGAGGACCAAGCCATTCAGCGTGGTGGGCGTTAAAATCACCGAATATCACGATCTTTGCGGATGGGACCTATTGTACCACGGAGTCTGCAGCCATTTGGACGTGGACGATGAGTCGGTCTGTGTCGGTATTACCGCTATGGCACCCATAGAGGCACCCGTAGACGCGGGGATGGTCATCGCTGTCTACGCGCAGCCATAGGATGGATAGGTCCGTACCTTCAAGACTGCCGATAAAACAGATGTCCTCTCTGACGTATACGCAAACTCCATCCCGGGGCACAAAGGAGTGTTCTAATTTGTACCCCTGGTAGGAGAGATATGTATCAGCCGGAGAGGATACCTGAGTCTCGGTTAAAAAGAGCAAGGTCGGATTGGCTGTCTCTACGTGGTAATGGACATCGTTAAGGTTGGAATGTAGTCCCCTGATGTTGCAAATATTCACGGATAGCGTGACAGGGGTCACCTTGGTCTTATTGCTCCGCTTGCCCCGAGCAGTCGCGAGCGAAATTTGTGCGATACGCGGGGCAGCCTGAGCACCCACGCTCAGGAGTGGAGTAGTTTGGTCGTGGATGCTCAGCGAGGGATTCTCCAGGGGTGCTGGTTGTCACTCGAAAGCACTTCGTCAGCGGTGGTCTTCAATTTTGGAAATATGTTAAAATCGCTTGGGGCTAGGTCTGGACTGTATGATGGGTGATTGATTTATTCAAATCCAGTTTTTTTCAGGGCACGCCTTGCAACTCGCGAAGTGTGCTCGGGCACATTGTCCTCCAAGAACAGGACTCCTTTTGCCAGTTTGCCTCTTCTTTTTTGACAACCACTTGACGCACTTTTGTCAACAATGGCGTAATAGTTCCCGTTCATTGTACTATTCTTAGGAAAGTAGTTAATTAATTAAAAAAATTCATAGTCCCAAAAGGCAATAGCCACAGTGGCCACAGCTTGGATGCCGATCGCTCCACTTAGAATTTCCGTGGCGACCCTTGTTTTAACTCTGGATCGTACTGCCGGATCCATGTTTCATCAGTAGTGACAATGTTAGAAAAAACATCGTCAGGATTACCGCCACAGATTTTCGAAAATTCCTGCGAAGTTGTGTCTCCACGCTGCTTGCGGTATAAGCATTTTTGGTACCCATCGTGTGCACACCTTTTGCATGTGCAAATGAGTATGCAAAATATCGCCGATTGGTTCTTTGCTAATAACAATTTGGTTAGGTGTGTTTGATACAGGAAATGGATTATGTTGCACCCAAGACCCTGACCAAAAGCAATTTTTTTTTTATTTTGACACTTTATTTCTTCGTTGGAATTATAATAAAATAGAACTGTTTTTATTCAACATAAATTAGAAGTAATATTTATTGAAAGTCATTTATGCTGTTACCACTGCACTGAAAAAACCTTTTTCCTTTGAAGAACCGACAAGATCCAGCGGGACTTGAATTGAAATTGAGTTCACTGTCCTAATAAATACTGTGAACAAAATGGAAAATAATTTGCCTTTTTCGTCCTACTATATTTTCGTCCTTTTGTAAAGTAAGTTAAATATAATATGTACTGATTCGAGGAATGTAGTTTATTTTTTGTTATAGGGCAACCTTTTCTGTTCTGGGTGTCGTCCTACATGTCGCTATGGAGCAACATATTGTTCAACTTTGCTGTTCTTATTAACGTCATCGTTGCTTTCTTTTACCCGTTTCAAGAAGAAAATCCAAGTAAGTATGTAACATAATTTCTATATCTTCAATATGAAAACTATTTATCTGTTTATTATTCAAAAAAACCTCTTTATGATGTATTTTTTTTTTCAAGATTTTAAAAAACGGTCCCAGTTAAAATACGTTTTGTGTTAGCAGTTTATTAGCAGCTTCTTGTTATTCCCTAATCATGCTATGCTAGATTCATTACTATTTAAAGGTGTATTGAGTCAGATATTATAATTATTTTACAAAAAATCTGGATAAAGTTCTTCCTTTTTCAGTTACTAATATATAAATAATCACTTCATATACTCGTAATACTCGTAGGTACTAAGATTGTTATAACTCAAAACCATTTTTGTTTTAAAGTTTTTAGAGGTGTATCGGTGTTTTTGCATAGGTGGGCGCGCACCTGTCGCTGGTGGTGTGGTGCGTGAGTGCGTGTCTAGTGTACGTGTTGACGCGGTGGGCGGGTGACGAAGCGAGTGTATCGGTGTGGTTGCAGAGCTGGGCGCGCACCTGTCGCTGGTGGTGTGGTGCGTGTGTGCGTGTGTAGTGTACGTGTTGACGCGGTGGGCGGGTGACGAAGCGAGTGTATCGGTGTGGTTGCAGAGCTGGGCGCGCACCTGTCGCTGGTGGTGTGGTGCGTGTGTGCGTGTGTAGTGTACGTGTTGACGCGGTGGGCGGGTGACGAAGCGAGTGTATCGGTGTGGTTGCAGAGCTGGGCGCGCACCTGTCGCTGGTGGTGTGGTGCGTGAGTGCGTGTCTAGTGTACGTGTTGACGCGGTGGGCGGGTGACGAAGCGAGTGTATCGGTGTGGTTGCAGAGCTGGGCGCGCACCTGTCGCTGGTGGTGTGGTGCGTGAGTGCGTGTCTAGTGTACGTGATGACGCGGTGGGCGGGTGACGAAGCGAGTGTATCGGTGTGGTTGCAGAGCTGGGCGCGCACCTGTCGCTGGTGGTGTGGTGCGTGTGTGCGTGTGTAGTGTACGTGTTGACGCGGTGGGCGGGTGACGAAGCGAGTGTATCGGTGTGGTTGCAGAGCTGGGCGCGCACCTGTCGCTGGTGGTGTGGTGCGTGTGTACGTGTGTAGTGTACGTGTTGACGCGGTGGGCGGGTGACGAAGCGAGTGTATCGGTGTGGTTGCAGAGCTGGGCGCGCACCTGTCGCTGGTGGTGTGGTGCGTGTGTACGTGTGTAGTGTACGTGTTGACGCGGTGGGCGGGTGACGAAGCTAGTGTATCGGTGTGGTTGCAGAGCTGGGCGCGCACCTGTCGCTGGTGGTGTGGTGCGTGTGTACGTGTGTAGTGTACGTGTTGACGCGGTGGGCGGGTGGCGAAGCGAGTGTATCGGTGTGGCTGCAGAGCTGGGCGCGCACCTGTCGCTGGTGGTGTGGTGCGTGTGTACGTGTGTAGTGTACGTGTTGACGCGGTGGGCGGGTGACGAAGCGAGTGTATCGGTGTAGCTGCAGAGCTGGGCGCGCACCTGTCGCTGGTGGTGTGGTGCGTGTGTACGTGTGTAGTGTACGTGTTGACGCGGTGGGCGGGTGACGAAGCGAGTGTATCGGTGTGGTTGCAGAGCTGGGCGCGCACCTGTCGCTGGTGGTGTGGTGCGTGTGTACGTGTGTAGTGTACGTGTTGACGCGGTGGGCGGGTGACGAAGCGAGTGTATCGGTGTGGTTGCAGAGCTGGGCGCGCACCTGTCGCTGGTGGTGTGGTGCGTGTGTGCGTGTGTAGTGTACGTGTTGACGCGGTGGGCGGGTGACGAAGCGAGTGTATCGGTGTGGTTGCAGAGCTGGGCGCGCACCTGTCGCTGGTGGTGTGGTGCGTGTGTGCGTGTGTAGTGTACGTGTTGACGCGGTGGGCGGGTGACGAAGCGAGTGTATCGGTGTGGTTGCAGAGCTGGGCGCGCACCTGTCGCTGGTGGTGTGTTGCGTGTGTGCGTGTGTAGTGTACGTGTTGACGCGGTGGGCGGGTGACGAAGCGAGTGTATCGGTGTGGTTGCAGAGCTGGGCGCGCACCTGTCGCTGGTGGTGTGGTGCGTGTGTGCGTGTGTAGTGTACGTGTTGACGCGGTGGGCGGGTGACGAAGCGAGTGTATCGGTGTGGTTGCAGAGCTGGGCGCGCACCTGTCGCTGGTGGTGTGGTGCGTGTGTGCGTGTGTAGTGTACGTGTTGACGCGGTGGGCGGGTGACGAAGCGAGTGTATCGGTGTGGTTGCAGAGCTGGGCGCGCACCTGTCGCTGGTGGTGTGGTGCGTGTGTGCGTGTGTAGTGTACGTGTTGACGCGGTGGGCGGGTGACGAAGCGAGTGTATCGGTGTGGTTGCAGAGCTGGGCGCGCACCTGTCGCTGGTGGTGTGGTGCGTGTGTGCGTGTGTAGTGTACGTGTTGACGCGGTGGGCGGGTGACGAAGCGAGTGTATCGGTGTGGTTGCAGAGCTGGGCGCGCACCTGTCGCTGGTGGTGTGGTGCGTGTGTGCGTGTGTAGTGTACGTGTTGACGCGGTGGGCGGGTGACGAAGCGAGTGTATCGGTGTGGTTGCAGAGCTGGGCGCGCACCTGTCGCTGGTGGTGTGGTGCGTGTGTGCGTGTGTAGTGTACGTGTTGACGCGGTGGGCGGGTGACGAAGCGAGTGTATCGGTGTGGTTGCAGAGCTGGGCGCGCACCTGTCGCTGGTGGTGTGGTGCGTGTGTGCGTGTGTAGTGTACGTGTTGACGCGGTGGGCGGGTGACGAAGCGAGTGTATCGGTGTGGTTGCAGAGCTGGGCGCGCACCTGTCGCTGGTGGTGTGGTGCGTGTGTGCGTGTGTAGTGTACGTGTTGACGCGGTGGGCGGGTGACGAAGCGAGTGTATCGGTGTGGTTGCAGAGCTGGGCGCGCACCTGTCGCTGGTGGTGTGGTGCGTGTCGCTGTGCGCGGGCGCGCTGGTGACTTGGTTGCCGCGCTCGTCGGGCGCGCGTGCATTACTCGCCAGTGCCATCGTGCGGCTCATCTTCTCCGCCGGGCCTGAGCCCACGCTTTGGACGCTCGGCATGCTTACCGTCAGTGCGCTTTTGTTTTACTCTTTTTTGTTGTGGTGATGGCGGATGGGTGAAATAAGGAATAGATAGCATGGGCTAGCCAAACACAAACCCAATAAGTCATCGATCGCATTTCATGACATACTTGGCAAGTAACACACATGACATTGGGATATTCTTTTTGTATTATCCCACATTATAATAGGATCTATAAGTCCTAGATCTACTTAGGACTATATTTATTCTTACTTTATAAATTTATTTTGGCACTGATACTTGATGCTCCATGCACCCGCAGAGCAGTTTATAAATTTCATCTACTTCTAAAGCGAGTCTAGAGCATTCGGACAGGTTTCAGCCCCTACCCAACAACTGTGACTCTGACGTGGAGACTCCAGCCTTAGTCAAAATAGAAAAAATAAGCGCTGCATTTTGATAAGTTACTCTTTGGGGAAAACTGTTTGGAATTTTAATAACCTCTATACAATTTAAAAATACTACATGCTTCAGAAATCATATCCGGCAGGAAGGACCAGAATCCTTTCGAGAAACCCTTCAAGCGGACCATAATGTCTTTTTTTAACGTTTTAGGATTAAACAAATGACAGTAATTTTATAATTGAATGATATCATTGAGAAATTAAAGGTAGGACGCATAGTCTCGCTGCCAAGGTCGTTAGCTAACTTGCCTCCCGACTCGAAGCGAGCCGCGGTTAGCCACCAGTAGACCGGTTTTCCTGCTTGCCTCACTTCAAGGGTCGTTTAGTTATATATGAACAGCTCTGATTTTAACTTTTTAGAATTTCTTATAAAATTTTGAGCGCATTTACATTATAATGATGTAATTCGTTACGCGGCAGATAGTAGTGAAGGGCATCCACCTGGTCAGCATTATGGGCAACCAAGGCACGTTGTCCAAGTCGACGCGATACGTAATAACCGACCCCGAGCTACTCTACCACAGCGTTTACCTCGGATTCTGCTTCCTCGGCATCTGCTGCCATCCATTCTTCTTCTCTGTGCTTGTAAGTATCTCTTAATTATTTTGTGTTGATAACACGGTCTACCAAATACTAGCTGTTATTAATATTAATAGGATGTGATATGATATGAATTTTAATATTTTATTACTTATAAATTAGATATTCAAAAATAATGATCTATGTGTAACTATTAGCTCATTTGTCACTCTAGCAGAGTGACAAATGAGCTAATAGTTCACTTGATTATTATGTTTGTTTCTTTATAGTGTCTCTTTTTCGTTTCATCGAGTTTCTGATCACAACGGGTCTTAAGAAGATTTCACTTCAAACAGAAAAAAGAAGTAATTTACTAAATGGTGTTACTTCCGTTTCATGCAGCTGCTAGACATCGTGTACCGCGAAGAGACGTTGTTGAACGTGATGCGATCAGTGACACGCAACGGGCGGTCCATCCTCCTGACGGCCGTACTGGCGCTGGTGCTGGTCTACATGTTCTCCATCGTAGGCTACATGTTCTTCCGTGACCACTTCCTCGTCAACGTCGACCGCCTCGATGGTAACCAATTTAACTTTTTATCCAACACTTTCGTAGGCTGAAAATAAGCAATTAAGTAACATCAACATCCTATAGTATTATGAGTCACAAGTACAGTTCTTATTTCCGAGAGGGTTATGAAACAGGATCAGGAAAGGGTCATAGTGCTGTTCGAGTGTCGAATGTCTGGACTTCATATACTCTACAAATATTTTTTTAATTTCTCTTGGATGCAAGTTTCCTCACAATGACTTCAGAAATTTTCATAAATTATATAGGAATACCAGTAAATGACTTTGACATTTATTGATAATGAATTTACTAAAATCGCAAAACTAAAAGTAGCAAACTCAAATAATATGATGTTTATCAAAAACTTCTGTGTGTACTATTAGATGGGCTCTGCGGCCTTAATACATTGCGCAATTAGTTATGGTCAAATCTCCGTAACCCATATAAGTCAATTGCGAGCGGGCGGGGAGACTATACTAATGTTAAACTCTTGCTGCCCACGATGCAGTAAAATGGGGAAACAAATAAGCAGGACGCCGCTTGCCCTCTCTGTCGCACTTACGAGCCTTATGGCAGGACTAGTGATGCACCACTGTCGTGTCGATGTGTATATTAAAAAGTAAAGAATGCAAAATAAAAAGAAAACTGTTCAATAACTACATTTATTATTGGTCAAAAATTCATACTTAGACTAAATAAAATGAATTAAAAGTTAAAATAGGTGTACAATAATTATTCGTCCGAATCAGAGTCAGTCAGTAGATGTTGCAATCGTCATCTACACTAATAATAAGGCACTTACATAAATGTGCTTTTTGCAAATCTTGAAGTGCTTCGGCGTGTAGAACACATTTTCGGCATTTTATCACAGTAATTATTAAATTAGCCGCACTTATTAATAAACTAGGAATTAATAAGCGGTTATCGATAAGTGACGCATCGCATGCGTCCGTCCCTAGCACTCCGATGATTTATGACACCGCTGGTAGCGAATGTTTAATATTTGTATAGTTCTTTGTTTTGTAATCTGTGAACATTGTTTTCGACAATAAAACTGATTTACTTTAAAGTGACTAAGAAAACGCTTTCATTATATACTCGTACACTTTGTCATCGTGATTTGAAGTTTATTTCAGATAAGTATGTGACTTCATTTTGTATTTACTTAAAAACAGTCATTTTCGACAGATACCCGCCGCGCCCGCGTGATCCATAGTTGTGACGTTTTTGTTCTATATTGCCGGTCTAGTAGTATGCATAGAAGTCTCCTCATGATCAAATTCTAGAACTTAAGAGGTTAAGAGGAACTTATAAATAAGAATGTCATGTCTAGATATCTTGGCACACTGTTGCAAATTGTAATTACTATCGATCATTATGTGTGTGATTATGACTTGTGAGTAGACGACGACGACCCGCGCTTCGAGGAGCGGTGCAATAGCGACTCGGCCGCGAAGTACCAGCGGGCGGCGCGCTTCGTGTCCGTGGGCGGCGCGCTGCGGGAGCGCAGCTGCGACTCGCTCATGATGTGCATCGTCACCACGCTCAACCAGGGGCTGCGGAACGGCGGCGGCATCGGCGACATACTGCGCGCCCCCGCCAGCTTCGTACGTACACACACGCACACGCACGCTGCGACACGCAGCTGCGACTCGCTCATGATGTGCATCGTCACCACGCTCAACCAGGGGCTGCGGAACGGCGGCGGCATCGGCGACATACTGCGCGCCCCCGCCAGCTTCGTACGTACACACACGCACACGCACACGCACGCTGCGACACGCAGCTGCGACTCGCTCATGATGTGCATCGTCACCACGCTCAACCAGGGGCTGCGGAACGGCGGCGGCATCGGCGACATACTGCGCGCCCCCGCCAGCTTCGTACGTACACACACGCACACGCACACGCACGCTGCGACACGCAGCTGCGACTCGCTCATGATGTGCATCGTCACCACGCTCAACCAGGGGCTGCGGAACGGCGGCGGCATCGGCGACATACTGCGCGCCCCCGCCAGCTTCGTACGTACACACACGCACACGCACACGCACGCTGCGACACGCAGCTGCGACTCGCTCATGATGTGCATCGTCACCACGCTCAACCAGGGGCTGCGGAACGGCGGCGGCATCGGCGACGGCATCGGCGACATACTGCGCGCCCCCGCCAGCTTCGTACGTACACACACGCACACGCACGCTGCGACACGCAGCTGCGACTCGCTCATGATGTGCATCGTCACCACGCTCAACCAGGGGCTGCGGAACGGCGGCGGCATCGGCGACATACTGCGCGCCCCCGCCAGCTTCGTACGTACACACACGCACACGCACACGCACGCTGCGACACGCAGCTGCGACTCGCTCATGATGTGCATCGTCACCACGCTCAACCAGGGGCTGCGGAACGGCGGCGGCATCGGCGACGGCATCGGCGACATACTGCGCGCCCCCGCCAGCTTCGTACGTACACACACGCACACGCACGCTGCGACACGCAGCTGCGACTCGCTCATGATGTGCATCGTCACCACGCTCAACCAGGGGCTGCGGAACGGCGGCGGCATCGGCGACATACTGCGCGCCCCCGCCAGCTTCGTACGTACACACACGCACACGCACACGCACGCTGCGACACGCAGCTGCGACTCGCTCATGATGTGCATCGTCACCACGCTCAACCAGGGGCTGCGGAACGGCGGCGGCATCGGCGACGGCATCGGCGACATACTGCGCGCCCCCGCCAGCTTCGTACGTACACACACGCACACGCACGCTGCGACACGCAGCTGCGACTCGCTCATGATGTGCATCGTCACCACGCTCAACCAGGGGCTGCGGAACGGCGGCGGCATCGGCGACATACTGCGCGCCCCCGCCAGCTTCGTACGTACACACACGCACACGCACACGCACGCTGCGACACGCAGCTGCGACTCGCTCATGATGTGCATCGTCACCACGCTCAACCAGGGGCTGCGGAACGGCGGCGGCATCGGCGACGGCATCGGCGACATACTGCGCGCCCCCGCCAGCTTCGTACGTACACACACGCACACGCACGCTGCGACACGCAGCTGCGACTCGCTCATGATGTGCATCGTCACCACGCTCAACCAGGGGCTGCGGAACGGCGGCGGCATCGGCGACGGCATCGGCGACATACTGCGCGCCCCCGCCAGCTTCGTACGTACACACACGCACACGCACGCTGCGACACGCAGCTGCGACTCGCTCATGATGTGCATCGTCACCACGCTCAACCAGGGGCTGCGGAACGGCGGCGGCATCGGCGACGGCATCGGCGACATACTGCGCGCCCCCGCCAGCTTCGTACGTACACACACGCACACGCACGCTGCGACACGCAGCTGCGACTCGCTCATGATGTGCATCGTCACCACGCTCAACCAGGGGCTGCGGAACGGCGGCGGCATCGGCGACATACTGCGCGCCCCCGCCAGCTTCGTACGTACACACACGCACACGCACGCTGCGACACGCAGCTGCGACTCGCTCATGATGTGCATCGTCACCACGCTCAACCAGGGGCTGCGGAACGGCGGCGGCATCGGCGACATACTGCGCGCCCCCGCCAGCTTCGTACGTACACACACGCACACGCACGCTGCGACACGCAGCTGCGACTCGCTCATGATGTGCATCGTCACCACGCTCAACCAGGGGCTGCGGAACGGCGGCGGCATCGGCGACATACTGCGCGCCCCCGCCAGCTTCGTACGTACACACACGCACACGCACGCTGCGACACGCAGCTGCGACTCGCTCATGATGTGCATCGTCACCACGCTCAACCAGGGGCTGCGGAACGGCGGCGGCATCGGCGACATACTGCGCGCCCCCGCCAGCTTCGTACGTACACACACGCACACGCACGCTGCGACACGCAGCTGCGACTCGCTCATGATGTGCATCGTCACCACGCTCAACCAGGGGCTGCGGAACGGCGGCGGCATCGGCGACATACTGCGCGCCCCCGCCAGCTTCGTACGTACACACACGCACACGCACACGCACGCTGCGACACGCAGCTGCGACTCGCTCATGATGTGCATCGTCACCACGCTCAACCAGGGGCTGCGGAACGGCGGCGGCATCGGCGACGGCATCGGCGACATACTGCGCGCCCCCGCCAGCTTCGTACGTACACACACGCACACGCACGCTGCGACACGCAGCTGCGACTCGCTCATGATGTGCATCGTCACCACGCTCAACCAGGGGCTGCGGAACGGCGGCGGCATCGGCGACATACTGCGCGCCCCCGCCAGCTTCGTACGTACACACACGCACACGCACGCTGCGACACGCAGCTGCGACTCGCTCATGATGTGCATCGTCACCACGCTCAACCAGGGGCTGCGGAACGGCGGCGGCATCGGCGACGGCATCGGCGACATACTGCGCGCCCCCGCCAGCTTCGTACGTACACACACGCACACGCACGCTGCGACACGCAGCTGCGACTCGCTCATGATGTGCATCGTCACCACGCTCAACCAGGGGCTGCGGAACGGCGGCGGCATCGGCGATATACTGCGCGCCCCCGCCAGCTTCGTACGTACACACACGCACACGCACGCTGCGACACGCAGCTGCGACTCGCTCATGATGTGCATCGTCACCACGCTCAACCAGGGGCTGCGGAACGGCGGCGGCATCGGCGACATACTGCGCGCCCCCGCCAGCTTCGTACGTACACACACGCACACGCACGCTGCGACACGCAGCTGCGACTCGCTCATGATGTGCATTGTCACCACGCTCAACCAGGGGCTGCGGAACGGCGGCGGCATCGGCGACATACTGCGCGCCCCCGCCAGCTTCGTACGTACACACACGCACACGCACGCTGCGACACGCAGCTGCGACTCGCTCATGATGTGCATCGTCACCACGCTCAACCAGGGGCTGCGGAACGGCGGCGGCATCGGCGACATACTGCGCGCCCCCGCCAGCTTCGTACGTACACACACGCACACGCACGCTGCGACACGCAGCTGCGACTCGCTCATGATGTGCATCGTCACCACGCTCAACCAGGGGCTGCGGAACGGCGGCGGCATCGGCGACATACTGCGCGCCCCCGCCAGCTTCGTACGTACACACACGCACACGCACGCTGCGACACGCAGCTGCGACTCGCTCATGATGTGCATCGTCACCACGCTCAACCAGGGGCTGCGGAACGGCGGCGGCATCGGCGACATACTGCGCGCCCCCGCCAGCTTCGTACGTACACACACGCACACGCACGCTGCGACACGCAGCTGCGACTCGCTCATGATGTGCATCGTCACCACGCTCAACCAGGGGCTGCGGAACGGCGGCGGCATCGGCGACGGCATCGGCGACATACTGCGCGCCCCCGCCAGCTTCGTACGTACACACACGCACACGCACGCTGCGACACGCAGCTGCGACTCGCTCATGATGTGCATCGTCACCACGCTCAACCAGGGGCTGCGGAACGGCGGCGGCATCGGCGACATACTGCGCGCCCCCGCCAGCTTCGTACGTACACACACGCACACGCACGCTGCGACACGCAGCTGCGACTCGCTCATGATGTGCATCGTCACCACGCTCAACCAGGGGCTGCGGAACGGCGGCGGCATCGGCGACGGCATCGGCGACATACTGCGCGCCCCCGCCAGCTTCGTACGTACACACACGCACACGCACGCTGCGACACGCAGCTGCGACTCGCTCATGATGTGCATCGTCACCACGCTCAACCAGGGGCTGCGGAACGGCGGCGGCATCGGCGATATACTGCGCGCCCCCGCCAGCTTCGTACGTACACACACGCACACGCACGCTGCGACACGCAGCTGCGACTCGCTCATGATGTGCATCGTCACCACGCTCAACCAGGGGCTGCGGAACGGCGGCGGCATCGGCGACATACTGCGCGCCCCCGCCAGCTTCGTACGTACACACACGCACACGCACGCTGCGACACGCAGCTGCGACTCGCTCATGATGTGCATTGTCACCACGCTCAACCAGGGGCTGCGGAACGGCGGCGGCATCGGCGACATACTGCGCGCCCCCGCCAGCTTCGTACGTACACACACGCACACGCACGCTGCGACACGCAGCTGCGACTCGCTCATGATGTGCATCGTCACCACGCTCAACCAGGGGCTGCGGAACGGCGGCGGCATCGGCGACATACTGCGCGCCCCCGCCAGCTTCGTACGTACACACACGCACACGCACGCTGCGACACGCAGCTGCGACTCGCTCATGATGTGCATCGTCACCACGCTCAACCAGGGGCTGCGGAACGGCGGCGGCATCGGCGACATACTGCGCGCCCCCGCCAGCTTCGTACGTACACACACGCACACGCACGCTGCGACACGCAGCTGCGACTCGCTCATGATGTGCATCGTCACCACGCTCAACCAGGGGCTGCGGAACGGCGGCGGCATCGGCGACATACTGCGCGCCCCCGCCAGCTTCGTACGTACACACACGCACACGCACGCTGCGACACGCAGCTGCGACTCGCTCATGATGTAATAATAATAATAATAATAATAATAAATAATAATAAATACATTTTATTTCGTTTTTAAAAAGTAAATGCCTTAAAAACTAGTAGATTGGAACCTCCATTTAAGCAAATAATGCCTGTGTTTGGAGGGTCCGTCCTTCCATTACTATATCCATGTTACAAGGCAGTATGGATAAACATATTCTATATCCATATTAATGTTATATATTACTTAAATTCTATATTAATTCTATTACTTATGTATGTATGTGTGTGTCTGTGTGTGTCTGTGTGTGTGTGTGTGTGTGTGTGTGTGTGTGTGTGTGTGTGTGTGTGTGTGTGTGTGTGTGTGTGTGTGTGGGTGTGTGTGTGTGTTTGTGTCTATGCTTGCGTGAGTTAAAAAGAGTATGTGTGATTACAGTGTCTGAATCTGAACAAATCATGCTACACAATCCAGTAGCTTCTCAATTTCGTCATATGTCTTATGATGAATCCATTCTAACAAAAGTTTTTTACAGTTGTGATATGTTTTGTCGTATATATAAATATCTTTGTTTATTTTATTATAAAGAAAGGCAGAACGTGATATAAATTGTCTACTCGCAAATGTGGTTTTAGTTCTGTATGTCTGGGCAACCATGTTTCTACGTCGTTTATTTAAATGGCATGGATCATAAGACAATGATTTGTGAGTTTTGAGGGTTGTCCAGAATATATACAACTTCCTGACAGAGAGTAAACCGCTGATACGAAATAGAAAATCGGTAGAAAAGCGTCTCTTCTTAAAGTACATAACTTTAATAAGAGAACGCTGCGCCCTCTCTAACTCCAGAAATCGAGTTTTTGCTGCACCACCCCAGACAGGAATACAGTAGGCCAAGACGGATTGAGCAAGAGCAATGTAGATTTGATTGAGGAGATAATTTGGTGAGTCCTCATCCGATTTGCCCAGCATTACATGTCTGAGGGTTTTGAAGATCCAAGTTAGTTTCCTCATTCTATTGATGACATGATCAAGGTGTGGGTACCATGATAGTCTTTGGTCTACAATTACTCCCAGATATTTTGTCTGAACTACCTTATCGATTCTAGGGCAGTTACAGGTGTTTTTATTAGTATCCGTTGTACATTCATGAATTTTTAAACTGAAGTCGGCCTGAGGTTGCGAGTTGTTGTTAGTACTAAAACATATATAGTTGGTTTTAGAAGTATTTAGGGTCAGGAGGTTGTGTTTCAGCCACTGAGCGATTCGCAACAGACCAGCCTCAGCACTAGTTTTGACCACCTCCCAAGAATCACCGGCAAATACTACAGCCGTATCATCAGCGTATGACAAAACTCTGGCGTTATAGATCCTCATGTTACATAAGTCGTTGATGTAGATGAGAAAGAGGGTAGGTCCTAAAACGCTGCCCTGCGGCACGCCATACGTCACTTCAACAGCTTCACTAGTGCAACCATTTAATTTTACTCTTTGTCTCCTGTCCGTTAAGTAACTCTGAAAAAGGGCAAGCGGAGTCCCCCTTACTCCCATATCTTCAAGTTTATGCACAAGGATGGGGATGGACACAGTATCAAAAGCTTTTTTCAGATCGAGGAAAACCGACAGACACTTTTTACTGTTGTCAAGTTGCCTAGTTACAAAAGAGCTTAACTCCGTGATTGCATCTTCTGTCGATTTTCCCCGCCTGAAACCAAATTGTGAAGATGATAATTTGTTAAATTTATTTAAGTAATTTAGTAGTCTAGTATTAAGTAGTTTCTCTAAGATTTTAGATATTGCTGGCAGAACCGAGATCGGCCTATAATTGCTAATATCTTCACCGTCCCCACCCTTGTATACGGGTGTTATAATTGATTGTTTCAACGGTGCAGGAAACACACCTTTGTAGAAGCAAAGATTTACAAGGTGGGTGATAATGGGAGCCAAGTCATCAACAGCCAACATTAGAAATTTATTTGGAATATTATCCCATCCTGGGGCGCTGTTTGATTTTAGATGGAGGATAGTGCTACGAACTTCATCAACATGAGTATGCAGTAGTACAAAAGAATTTGGTTGTGTCGGTTTATTTTCTATAAGTGTTTTAGATGTTCTTGTATCGTGTTGAATGTTATTTGCAAGTTGTAATCCTATATTGGCAAAATAGTCATTAATAAAGTTAGCCGATTCAGAGGGTGAGGACCTTAAATTAAACAGTTTAGAACTAGTGCTATGTTTTCCTTTCGAGTATATAATGTTTTTAATATTATTCCAAAGCAATTTATTATTATTTAAAGATTTTGTAATGGTGTCCCTGTCATATTTTCTTTTTAGTCTTTTTATTAAGTTGTTACAGTAATTTCGGTAGCGTCGGTAAGTAATGCAAAGAATTTCATTGTGAGGGTCATTACGTAGCCTTTTCTGAAGTTGGTTGCGATTTCGTATGCACCGCAATACTCCTGGAGAGATCCACGGCTGTATAATTCTTTTGTTGCATGATATACGTGTCACCTCAGTATTCATCTTTAGGCTTTCTATAATTCTTTCTATTAGGTAGTTAATGACAGCCGTTGGGTCGTCACTAAATAAAATATCAGATAGATTACTATTTTGTAAATATTTTAGAGCAGCGTCAAAATTTATAGTGGTTTTAGTTCTATTATCTTTAGTTAAATTTTTTATTTTTGAGATTGATAGAAATGTTGTAAAATGATCCGTAGTTGTAGTTTGCAAAATCGCTATAGTTGAATTGTATTTAATTTTATTGATTTTTAACATGAAATGGTCAAGGCAGCCTTGCTGCCTAGTAGGTAATGTATGTCCCACTAATATGCCATGGTTAGCAAGCATGTCCAAGTAGTTCATTCTGTTTTTATACTCATGCAGAGGTTCATTAGGTTTGGGTCGAATATTTATATTGATATCACCTGTTATTATAATGCTCCTATGCGAGGGAAGAGTCTCTAAATGAGAGTTTAGCGTATTGATAAAATTTCTAGGGTTTGGGTTCGATGGAGATCTGTAAATACATAATACTGTAGTATTCAATACATCAATCTGTAGACATGATGCTTGATGTAAAATTACTTCCTTGACTTTGTGTTTTAAGCTTTTTTTTATATATACAACTACTCCATCACTTTGATTTAGTTGGGATGAGGTACAATAGACTTCATAGTTGTTTAATTGTGGGAGATGTTTATTGGGGTTTAATCTACATTCCGTGAAGGTGATAATATCAATTTCAAAAGATAAGTTTGCCAAAGTAAGAGTAAAATCGTTAAAATTTTTGTAGATACTAACAATATTCTGAGATATAATGGTAAAGTCATTTTTATTAATTTGTATGAGTCTCTCAAGATCAGCGGTATCGCACTCTAGTGCCTTTGCTATTTTAATATTGTCTAATTCTTGAAGCGTATACAACGTTTCATCCATATTGAAACAGATGTAAAAATAATCTAGGGGTAGTGATAATTAAAATTTGCATGACTGTAGGTAGGTTGATAGTAAAAAGGGGTATAATGGAGAAGTGTTGTTCGATTAGTTTCATTAATGCTTTAAGTGAGTAGCTTATGTTAAGAGTGAAGATGTGAAGACATATGTATACTAGTGTGGATTGAGTTTTGGGAGCAAGTTTTTGTAGGATTTTATCATGTGTATTGTTTACAGTCGCAATCATGTATATTTGAGAGTTTATGTTTCTAAAGTGTATGAGTGTATGTGTGCGTGTGTGGGAAAAAGTGTGTAGTGTTTGGTAAAAGTTTTTAACAATTTTCATAAGTTCTATATGTATAGAGATAGACATCAGATAGCACAATATGGTATAACAGTACATAATGTTAAGCCATATACAAAATGCAAAAATACAAAGCATCAAGGTTAAATTAGGGAACAGATTAGACACACTTGAAGTTGAAAATGGGCAGTAATATAGTCAGTCTTGTTCTAAAAGTAATTTATGTACCTGTTGTTCCGTTTTAATCATGATAATTGGCGATTGTTCGCTTTTCCGCACATAAATTTTGCCATAAGATGTCCACACATATTTATAGCCTTTAGATTTGGCAAGGTCACGGGCCAGATAATGAAGCCGGGCAGCCTTTGGTGTCAGATTCTCTGAAAGAAAAACCGGTGTATCCGCGTGAGACTTCATACCAAGGTGCTTTGCGCACAATTTGGTTTTATTTCGTATGTTGAAAGATTTAGCCATTTTTAGGAGATCAGTTTTCAGTAGCACTGAACCAGTTTCCACTACAATGGGGGTGTTCCTATGTTCTGGCTTTTTTCCTCTCACCCTATAAATATCTTTAATATCGGTCTTGTTTATTTTGAAGTCAATAGTTTCTGATAGCGTTACCACCATTTCAATTAAGTCCTGTTTAGTCTCAGATTCCTTTTTAGGCACTCCCTTTATTTCGAAGTTCGTCTTGCGAGATGAGAGCTGCAAATCCTCCAATTTATCTTCCAGGAATACGATATATTCCCTATCTTCCCGTGATCGATCTTCAAGGCTATTTATTTTATGTTTCAGTTCTTCATTCTGTGTCGTTAAATGAGCCAATGATGCTTCTATGCTTTTGTTAGTGTCTTGAATTTCTTGCATTTTCGTGCACAATTGTCGAAGCTCTTCCCTATGCAAAGTGTTGAAAGTTGTTATAAGTTGAGTTATGTCCATTCTAAAGGCTTCAAATTGTTGTTGCGGCATTCCCTGGGCAGGTCTACGCGGTCGATCAAAAACAGCGTTCAGTGGAGATTCGTTCTCCTCCGTAGCGCAAATTGACATATCTGGGTCCGACATAGCTACTGTTAAGTGAAGACTATATCGTCACAGCCCGCTACAAGTACATACTGCGCGCCCCCGCCAGCTTCGTACGTACACACACGCACACGCACGCTGCGACACGCAGCTGCGACTCGCTCATGATGTGCATCGTCACCACGCTCAACCAGGGGCTGCGGAACGGCGGCGGCATCGGCGACGGCATCGGCGACATACTGCGCGCCCCCGCCAGCTTCGTACGTACACACACGCACACGCAC